CCCCCCCCACGGGATTTACATTGATAGGTGCATAAAGAAGGCCGTTCCAGTTGTAGTAATCTGACAAAACAATGATTTATTTTGCATGATTATATTCGGAAGAGAACCACGAAGCATTCAATAGCCAGTTGGTTCTGAACTTGTTGAATTTTTTGTCAGTGGATACAGCGTTATTTGACTTCACTAAGCTGTTTTCGAAAATACAAAACATGGGAAATCTGAAAAAAATATTTAGGGTAAGTTAGCCTTAATTTAACAAAATGACATTAAAGTCAAATAGCTAAGAAGTATATAAACTACGTCATGGAACGTAAACAGGAAGAGTTAACTCAATAGTAACTAATTCAAAATTACGCTTCCCTTCTTTGTTTAAGACGGTATGCTTTGATATACTTAAGTTGTGATTTGTAACCCTTATGTTAACGAACAGTTGTATACAGCCAGCTTGTAACTGAATATGTTTTAGCAGACAGAGAAAACTTCTCATTCTGTATGTTGTTGTTTGACTGGCTCTTGCTACCATTGCTTTATTAAAATAGTGTTTTTAACCGTTGACAAAATTATTCAGCTGATTATTGCTAAGTAATCACTGTAGGTCAAATTCTTGCTGACAGTAATAAATTCTGCAGGGCGTACAAAGCTTTTTAATTTAAAAAAAAAAAAAAAAATGCAATCACTTTATTAAATAACCTGTTAAGCGGTTAATGAGCAAGATAGAGTAGCCATTTTTATAAAGAGTAGTTAACTTGCAATCAATCCGGAGTACCCTTAACACTGAGGAAATAGTGATATTGGACTTTCGACCAGTTGATAGTAGCACTTCAGACACTTGAGAACGTCTCGCGACCAAAGTCACGACAGGGAACCCAATGAACTGTTTGAATTTATTCAGTCGTGTTGTTTGCACTTGAATCATAGCTTAGTTCAATGTTATATTGTTTGTCCGAGCAATTTGTCAATTAGTTGAGGCTGTAGTATAAAATGTCGACAAAAAAGAAAACAAATCTGTCATCAAAACTTTGAAAAAAACTAGAAAATTTAAATTTGGCTGCTTCATCAGTAGGATTCCTTAAATGCTTTCGTTTTAAACCTAAAACCCGTTTACCAACAATCGAAAATGAATCTGCATTAGGCAGAAATCATTTTAAAGATACTCATGAGATAAAGCTGTGTTACCCGAAGAGTAGATCGGTTAGTGGAAATATTTTTAGTATCAACAGTATAAATTAGATATATTGGACTGTTACTGATCTGAAAGGCGACACTTGAGTGAAAACAGTTTCGTTCCTTCCCATCTAACTTATTACTTTTTTTAAAAAAGCTTTCAATGTTTATACTACTACATGAGAAATTTCTGCAATTTGATTGGCTTAGAGCACAGTGGTATCTCAGCTTTTTTTTTTTGAAATAACTACATGTGAAAATTACAAACCCTTTGCGGGTAGTAGTATAAGCAAATAATAGCATGATTTGTACATGATATTTGGCATAAATACCACTCGTGATATTTCAAAATCGTCTCATAATGTATTGGGTAAAGCTGTTTCTATAAAACGAAAAAAAACAGCTGAAATGTTACTGAAATACAGTCCAGAGATTAACTTGATTTAATAAATAACTTTGAAGTGAAATAGCTCAAAAGTATTCAAGCAATGCATTAGATCATAAACATGAAGAGTTAACTCAAAGATAACTGAGAAATTGATGAAACTTTGCGTTTATAATACTAGAAAGAAATCGTTGAATTGAGGGATCTGTAGAAAAACCTTTATGAAGAAGATTTGTTACTCTAAAAAGTAGAATGATTTACTTGACGTATAACCGTTATGTTTCAAAATTGATTTAGCATACAGAAACATGCTGTACGTTGTGGACTCGGGTCTTAAACTAGAATAGACGTAATGACTTGGGCTGTTTTAGAAAATACGAAACAGGGGAAATCTAAAAAAAATATTAAGGGTATTATAAGTTTGACTTAATTTAATAAACGATATTGAAGTCAAATAGCTAAGAAGTATCTAAACTACGTCATGGAACGTAAACGGGAAGAGTTAACTCAACAGTAACTAATTTAAAATTACGCTTCCCTTATATGTTTAGGTATAGACTAGATATGAGTATGCTTTGATATAATTAAGTTGTGATCTGTAACCCTTATGTTAACGAACAGCCAGCTTATAACTGAATACGTTTCAGAAAAATTTCATTCCGTCAAGGACTGGATCTTGGTACGACCATTGCTTTATTAAAATACGTGTTTTTGGACATGACTAAGCAATCACTTTAGGTCAAATTCCTGGTGACAGTAAAAAATGCTCCGGGGGGTTTAAAATGCATAACAAAGCTTTAGGAGTAGTTAACTTGCAATCAGTCCGGAGTATTCTTACCACAGGGTGTAATCAGGAATATTGGACTTTCGACTACTTTATAGCAATACTTCAGACACTTGACAACAATCAACCGGCGTACTTTCCGTTTTCGCGTTTCTCGCGGCAAAAGTGATCACAGGAAACCCAATGAACTATTTGATTTATTCGTATTGATCATCTGTGTTGTTTGCGTTTGAATCATTGCTTAGTTCCATGTTACATTTTTTGTCCGACGCAATTTGTCAGTTGGGTGAGGCTGTTTTATAAATTTTCGACAAAAAACAAAACAAAATCTATCATCATTCTTAAAATGTTTTCGTTTCAATTTGAAACCCATTTACCAACAATGGAAAATGAATCTACTTTAGAAAGAAATCATTTTTAAGATTCATATACTCATGAGATTAAGCCGTGTTATACCGGCGAAGGATAGAGCATCTAGTGCAATTATTTTTAATATTTGATATATTGGACTGTTGCTGATCTGAAAGCCGAAACTTGAGTGAAATCTATCTTACGACTAACTTTACTGGAATGCCTTATTGATTTCACAAAGAGCTAACGATGTTCATGGATATTGCTAGAATTCCCTTATTCCCTTAGTGCCATGAACTTTTTCCAAACAATGTTTCTAATGTTTCCATTTTGTAAGTGTATTAAGTTGAAGAGAAACAAATGAACCTGTTAATGGCTAATTGTTTGAACTTATCGAAACTTGAATCTGCAAGGAATGTAACTAAGATAGTACGCGCGCTCTGATTGGCCGAGAGAAGTGTTTGCATGAGAGTATATAAACATTGTTGAGATGTTTTGCTTTTCGCGCGCTAATCACGAAAGCACAAATTTGAAAAAGTTTTGGAGTTCAAAACTCGACAAGTTTACTTTATTTACCTATTTCTTCGTCGGCTGAAACTTGGAACATCTTTACAAACAAGCTGCGAGAAAAATCCGTATTTTGGAAAGCATCTTTTTGCAAAACAAGAACTGAAAACGTGTGCAAACCTTTTACGGTTCTGCACACGGTCCAAAAGTTCATCTCTCTGCAAAAGTCATAAGAACAAATCATTGAATCGTTGGAAACAATGTTTCTTTTTTATGAGTGCATTGATCAAATACGTTGTTTGCACTTGAATTTTTATTGCCGAAGTTGAATGTTATTTTCTTTGCCCAAGCAATACTGTGTTACTTTTGTATTGGGTCGTTAAGGCTGTTTTATGAAATAAGAAAGAACAAAACTAAAATCCATGATCCTACGAAACAAATCTGCTTCAAAATAA